GATGGAGAGGAGGAGCTTCATGATGGAGAGGAGGAGCTTCATGATGGAGAGGAGGAGCTTCATGATGGAGGGGAGGAGTTTCATGATGGAGAGGAGGAGCTTCATGATGGAGGGGAGGAGTTTCATGATGGGGAGGAGGAGCTTCATGATGGAGGGGAGGAGTTTCATGATGGGGAGGAGGAGCTTCATGATGGAGGGGAGGAGTTTCATGATGGGGAGGAGGAGCTTCATGATGGAGGGGAGGAGCTTGACAATGGTGGGGAGGAGCTACAAATGGATGGGAGGAGCTACAAATGGATGGGAGGAGCTTTATGATGGATGGGAGGAGTTTCATGATGGAGGGGAGGAGCTTCATGGTGGAGGCGTGGCACTTCATGATGGAGGGGAGGAGTTTCATGGTGGAGGGGAGGGCTTCATGATTGATGGGAGGAGCTTCATGATTGATGGGAGGAGCTTCATGAGGGGAGAAGGGTCTTCATGAGAAAGAGGAGGGTCTTCATGAGGAGGAGGAGGGGCTTCATGAGGAAGAGGAGGGGCTTCATGAGGAGGTGSAGGGTCTTCATGAGGAAGAGGAGGGGCTTTATGAGGAGGAGGAGGGGCTTCATGAGGAAGAGGAGGGGCTTTATGAGGAGGAGGAGGGGCTTCATGAGGAACAGGAGGGTCTTCATGAGGAACAGGAGGGTCTTCATGAGGAAGAGGAGGGGCTTCATGAGGAACAGGAGGGGCTTCATGAGGAAGAGGAGGGGCTTCATGAGGAACAGGAGGGCTTGAAGAAAACAAACTGAAGAACATCCTCATGCAGAACAGAAGAGGATTTTCTTCCTCCTGGGTTTTTCTCAGATAAACTTATGATCAGTGCTACTTCTACCGTAGGAGGCTCATGCATGGAGAGAGGCCACGCCCACGGCTGCCGTCTCTTTTTTATGTTTTTGTTTTGGTTGGAGGACTGGACTGGAAGATGCAGGCAGCGTTTATGATACAAAATATGTTACAGAGCGTCCGTCTGCGCTCACCTTCACCCGAAGGAAGAACCGTTCAGCAGGAAGCTCCCAGCTTAGCTCATGAGGACGTGCACTTTTATAAACGTGCACTTTTATAAACATGCACTTTCCTGACCAGATGATGTGCACTTTCCCAAACAGACAGAAACACTTGGCTTCAGTAAATAAACAGAACCGGGTTGATTCTTTGCTACAGTTAAAGTTTTAATCTTTGCTGTTATTGGTCGAATCTGTTTACAAAAACAAACAAAAATAAAATTTGTTTGTTTCAGTGTTTCCTCTGTTTAAACAGAATCTTTGAATCTTTAATGTACGACATCATTTTTACTCTCAGCTGATTCGTACGCAGCTGTTTTCATCCAAAAGGGGTGGAGCTTTGATGAGTCTCTACTCCATTTATGGGCGTGCCCATCAATGCAGTTTTTTTGGTCAAGGTGGGCGGAGCCTGTTCTATCAATCAAACTGCTTGGCGGTCATCTTTAATCATTTTCTGCCCGTTTGGCTGGAATGAGGTTAAACTCTAAATCATCTTCATTAATCACTGATTTGTTGGATAAATTTGTTGAATTCAAGATGGCCGCCTCCGCTAATAAACATTAGCATCACAGAGACGCTAATAGAGATACTGAAGTAAAATTTGGAGTGGTAGTCGCTGAGAGTCTTTGTTTAAAGCTCTGCATGCGCTCCTCTAAGGATCTTATGGACCTGCTCGGGTCTCAGTTGGACCTGAAAGTGTTTTCAGAACCATTTGAACCCAAAGTGCACGTTGTCTGGACCCATCCTGCATGAAAGCCGAGGAGCTTCTGGTTCTGATGRTTCCTTATCTGGTTCAACCACAGAACTCTCCTTGTTCTCGGTCAGTCCAGGAAAAGAAGAACTGATGGTTCTGGTCCAGGTCCAACACTTTGTTACTGAAGGTTCACTTGTTGATGCTAGTTTCCTGCTCGGTGTAAATGTTGCATAATGTTGAAGAAGAAAAGGCTCTCGGCCTGAGACAAACACTCAGGAGCTACAGTCAGAACACCTGGGCCCAGTCCTGGACCCAGTCCTGGACCCAGTCCTGGACCCAGTCCTGGATCCAGCAGTAAAGAGTTCAGTGTCGCACAGATTGGATGGTTTCTGCTCCTGTAGGCCGTAAATCAGTCCGGTTAGACCCGGGTCAGTTTGGTTCTTCTGTTTTAGCAGCATTACCTTTGTTGGTTAGAGTCTCTGAAATCAACTGATGGCCTCTGAGTCCTGAGTCCTGACCTCTGAGTCCTGACCTCTGAGTCCTGACCTCTGAGTCCTGACCTCTGAGTCCTGACCTCTGAGTCCTGACCTCGGACCTCTGAGTTCTTTAGAATCAAATTGTTGAGGATGAGATCCACTGGACTCGCCGGTTCTCTTCCTGGTTTGGCTTTAAGTTTTTTAAACCTTTTTCACTGAAGATAAACTGGTCCAGAACTGAACAGAACCACGTTAAACTGGTCCAAACTGAACAGAACCACGTTAAACTGGTCCAAACTGAACAGAACCACGTTAAACTGGTCCAAACTGAACAGAACCATGTTAAACTGGTCCAGAACTGAACAGAACCGAGCAGCAGTTCTGCTGCAGCTGTAACACTTTGGAGAAATCATTTCTCAGTTCTTTGAAACAAACTAAGGCTCCTCTCCAGGGTTTTGTGCAACGAGACCTGCAGGGTTTTTTGTGCGAGGGGGTTAAAATAGACATGGCTGCAGAACCTTCCTGCTTGTCTTTCCGGTGACCCACAGAACTCCAGGGATCCATAGAAGACCAGCAGGGCCTCAGGTCCAGGATCCCAGGTTCAGCGGAGCTCGTTCAGACGGTTCCTGGTGGGTCTAGGGGTCTGAGGGGTCGGGGATGTCGGGGGATGAGGTCGGAGGTTATAAGGAGGAGATCTTGACGGTTTCGTGGGTGAAGGCTGTGGCCCGGGTGTTGCGCAGGATGCCGGGGATGGGAGCAGGCGACGGCGGCAGACTTTCGTCCGGCGTGTTGGCGGGCGGCGTGGGGATGCTGATGATGGCGGCGGTGAAATCCTGCTCCCCGCAGTTCAGCTTCAGGTCTTCAGGCTGCGCGTTCAGGCTGGAACGACTGTGAAGGGCACAGAAACAAAGACCACCGGTCACCACCACTCACACAGGAGCTCTCTCTCTCAAAGGTTCTGGTTCTGTTGTAGTTCTGGGCCTCAGGGCTCCTGGTTCTGATCCATTAGTGGAGCTAAAGGCTGTTTCCATCAGCAGGTTAGATGTTTGTGTGAAGACAGATTTACAGGAGGCCTGACGAGGAGCACGCTCTGCTTTATAAACATTACTGCTGAGTCAGCACCTCTGCTTTTATGAGCTTTTTACTTTTTACTGGTAACTTTGGCTGCAAACACGTTTCACACAGAAACACAGGGATCCTTCACACTAACTTTATACACTAAATACTGAACAAGAAACATATTGTTAGTGAACGAATAACAAACCTGAAATGTTACTTTGAGTGTATTTAAAAGTACTTCAATAAAATGACACTAAACTTTAATGCTAGTAACTGAAAGTATACCTAGAAGAGTACTTTCAGTATACTTCTGAGTATACTTCTATAAACTTAAGTGAGTCCAGATAAGTATGCTTGTCAGTAAACTGCTAATGTACTTAAATCAGTGTACACAGTAAACAAAAGTACACTTAGGAAAATGCAATTTTATATACTTAAGCATACTTAATGACATACTTAATGTATACTTCTTTTTGGTAAGGGTTTGTAAAGTTAGTTTTGTGCTACATGTAGCTTGTAGCTCTTTGTAAAGAGTGTTTATTGCTACGTGTAGCTATTACCTCTTTTAAAAGGGAGCTTTGTGCTACGTGTAGCTTTTAGCTCGTTGTTAAGCGAGTTGTGTGCTAAGTTTAGCTTTTAGGTCTTTGTTAAAATAGTTTTTAGCTGTTTGTAAAGAGAGCTTTGTGCTACGTTTAGCTCTTTGTTAAGAGAGTTGTGTGCTACACGTAGCTTTTAGCTCTTTGTTAAGAGGTATTTGGTTGGTTACGGGGCACGTCAGAGTTTGTGTTTTGTCGATCTTCTGGTTTGGTTTTTACTTCTGTGGTGGGATGGAGGTGGTCTTGACTTGCAGGGTGTCCAGTTCCTGGACACTCCCCCGGCTGACGGACACGATGGAGTTAGCCAATCGCATGGCAGCTCTCCTGCGGGCGCGGCGGGGACAGCAGCCTGTGGAGTTGTTCTGCGCCCCCTGCTGGCTGGACAGAGACGTGCTTCGGCTGGTTCTGAAGCCCACCGACTCGGTCATACACAGCTCGCTGTACGTCATCTCGTCCGTGAACTCGTGGTTCTGTGGAGAGACGGAGGAGGACGGGTTCGTCAAACAGGACATGTGAGACAACAGGACATTAAGACTGTTCCCCAGAACCCCCAAAGAGTCTCTTCCTGTGTCCCAAAYCTGCACCTCCTCGTTTTTGTTTACCTTTGTCTCGTCTGTTAGCAAAATGTCTCAGATCATTAAACAGCCTGATCCAAGGTGTCCCCCTCACTAACCAACCTTCAGCTGTTACAACTCAGACTGTTTTACTGATAAAGAGCTAAAACCTGGTGTGGTAGTAGCTGAGAGTCATCCCCAACACAGACCCTGATCAGAGACACATGACCCTGAGTCTACAGTGACCCTGCTTCTCTCAGGTTCTCTCAGGGTCTCTCAGGGTCTCTCTGGGTCTCTCAGGGTCTCAGGTTCTCAGGTTCTTTCAGGTTCTCTCAGGTTCTCTCAGGTTCTCTCAGGTTCTCTCAGGGTCTCTCAGGTTCTCTCAGGTTCTCTCAGGGTCTCTCAGGTTCTCAGGGTCTCTCAGGTTCTCTCAGGGTCTCAGGTTCTCTCAGGGTCTCTCAGGGTCTCTCAGGTTCTCAGGTTCTCTCAGGTTCTCTCAGGTTCTCAGGGTCTCTCAGGTTCTCTCAGGGTCTCTCAGGTTCTCAGGGTCTCTCAGGTTCTCTCAGGGTCTCTCAGGTTCTCAGGGTCTCTCAGGGTCTCTCAGGTTCTCAGGGACTCTCAGGTTCTCAGGGTCTCTCAGTTTCTCAGGTTCTCTCAGGTTCTCTCAGGGTCTCGGGTTCTCAGTTTCTCTCAGGTTCTCTCAGGTTCTCAGGTTCTCTCAGGGTCTCAGGTTCTCAGGGTCTCTCAGGGTCTCTCAGGTTCTCAGGTTCTCTCAGGTTCTCTCAGGTTCTCAGGGTCTCTCAGGTTCTCTCAGGTTCTCAGGTTCTCAGGGTCTCTCAGGGTCTCTCAGGGTCTCTCAGGTTCTC